CCCAAAGCCCTAACCCTAAACCCCAAACCCCAGGCGAGGCGGGGAGGTCATTCCTTTGGGTCGGCATCCCCAGCTTGGGTAGGATTTAGGGTTTAGGGTTTAGGGTTTAGGGTTTAGAGTTTAGGGTTTAGGGTTTAGGAGAGATGGATCTCGAAGTCTGGTGCTTTGCAGAGCTTCGGATTTGTCAGGGCTGGGGCTGATGGAAGGGCCATTTTCTATAGTCTCTTGCGGTATATGATCCTAGAATTATATAGTAAGGAGCCCCCAAGATAATACTAGTAATTATCTAAGCTCTGATATTACAAGGTCTGGGCTGGCATTGGCGCTTCCTGATCTCTTCCACCTCACGAGTCGCAATGTGGGAGTCATGAAGAGCTTTCTTTGTTTTTTCGGCTTCTGGACAACCCCTCATCAGGGACTGTGTGTGAAGTGAGGAAGACTAGCAGTCTCTACTGGGCAGGAAGCCCTAACCGCAAAGCGCGGATGGAAGCCCCAGCCATGCCGCGGCACAACTACGGGATTCGGGTGTAGGGTTCATGATTCCTTCAGGGTTTAGGGTTTAGGGTTTAGGGTGGGTGTAGGGTTCAGGAGCAGTCTAAGCCGGATTGGAGTCGGGTATAAACCTTCAACTCACAGCCTCCAGCGGTGGCTTAACACCTAGTAAGCGGTTGCCGATCTTCTCCCATGTCTTCTTAGAGTATTAGACGATGGCAGGAATGACCGTCGCAGCATCCTGGTCAGCATGGTCAGCATCATTATGACGGCCCTATTCATCATCGCCATCATCATCATCATCATCATCATCGTCATCGCCAACTTCATCATCACCACTACCACAACCGATCATCATCATCATCACCACCATCATCATCATCACTGCCATCGTAATCGCCATCATCTTCGCCATCATCTTCACCACCACCACCACCCCGGCTCATCAGCCTGTCATCGTCACCATCATCATTGTCAGCAGCATCTTCATCGTCATCGTCATCGCAAGCATCACCATCAACATCATTGTTGCTGTCATCTGCATCACCGTCGCCTCCATCATTAGCATGGTCACCATAACCATCACCGTCACCCAAGAGGCATGCGCGATGGCATGCTTATGCTAGTTACTGATATTGAGCACATCCTGAACATCTGCTCCACGGCCAGTATTCACAACTTGAACAGTATGGGTGCCGCCGCTACCATCACCAGCACCAACGGCAAGATTGTAATGCTGATGATGACGGCGGTGATGATGGTGGCGGCGTCATGATGGTGGTCATGATGATGACGCCGGTCACGATGACGACGACGGTGATGACGGTTATCGTGATGCTTGCGATGACGATGACGATGAAGATGCTGCTGCTGACAATGATGATGGTGACGATGACAGGTTGATGAGCGGTGGTGGTGGTGGTGGTGGTGGTGGTGGTGGTGGTGGTGGTGGTGGCGGCGGTGGTGGTGGCGGTGCCGGCATTGTGCCGATGCTGGTGCTGGTCATGGTCATGATCCTGGCCTTTATAGGTGGCTGGTGGTTGTTGTGTGCCCGGATGTGGGCGTGGTGCAGGTTGCGGTAGCTGCAGCTGTTGCGGTGGCTGGTTGTGGTGGCAGCGTTCGATTGACAGCTCTACTTCAAATTTGGCATACTATAGCCGACCCGGCAACCGTCATTCCATATTCCATTCCCTTACTTTGCTATTTTAGCAGCCAGCTGCAAAAAGCACAACTGCCAGGATTTCGCGGTACTTTTTTTTTACAATTGTACCAAAGAACCCGAAGGACTAGTATTCATGATCATTCCGGCTTGTATATTTGCCTGAACCCTAAACCCACCCTAAACCCTAAACCCTAAACCCTAAACCCTAAACCCACCCTAAACCCTAACCCCGAAACCATTTGCCTCGGAGGTGATGGCAGAGGCGCGTTGACTTTGCGAGGAACATCCTCCCAGTCCTCGAGCAGAGGGGCCCTAAAGAAAGACTCGCAAGGTTAGCACTATGCAGCTCGGGCGGGCTGAGATTTTTCGCTTTTTAGGGTTTAGGGTGTTAATTGGGTTTAGGGTTTAGGGCTTAGGGTTTTTCGGATCTGTTATTGGGCTGGTCATGACTTTTCGTTTCGGCAAAAGCAAGGCGATGCTGGCACACCGGATTCGAAAGCTGCAGTGGGCTGTCTGGCGCGCGTTACAAGCAGGCAGTGGTCCCGTGGTACATTGGTGACGGTTCCCTGCACGTTGGCCCAACCCTAAACCCTAAACCCTAAACCCTGAACCCTGAACCCTAAACCCTAAACCCTAAACCTTGAAGTATCAAAAACACAGCTGGAGGCCGGATCAGGCTTTTGGGGTTTGGATTTGGTGACACTCTACAGTTTTGGGAGGCTTGTAGAGGCTTGCGGTGGGGAACTTCACACCCTCATCGGTCATTGACAGAGTGCACGATGGCCCTTTCCGGAGAGACATTAGACTTTGAACCCTCGGCCACTCTAAATCCTGCAACATCATCCTGCTTGGATGCTAAACCATCACTCTACACCCTAGATGTTACATCCCAGACACTAAACCCTGACCCCAAAACAACAACCTGCCACCCGCCAGGGGCCACAAGACCTGAACCCTCCCAAGCCAAATGCACTGGCAATTATCGGATAGTTCTAGGGGCCCTAAGCCATATACACCTGAACCCCTGCAACTGAAATGGAAAACCAAAACCCTGAAACCCTGAAATCCTAAAGCCCTGAACCCCGCCCCAACCCCAAAGACCCTATCTTTTCAAGGACTTTATAAGGAAAACATACGAAGGAACCCCAAACACATCGGTTTTCAAGGGTTAAGGTGACACCCCGAACCTCTGCAACCCGAAACCCTGCACCCTGAAACCCCTAAACTCTAAACCCTAAACCCTAAACAACCCTGGAAGCGCCTCTGTTGCAGCAGAGGCTGCCTTGTGAGCGGCATGGGAGTCATCGACCTGCCCATAAAGGAACCCTAAACCCTAAGCCCTAAACCCCTATAAAGGAACCCTAACCCCCCCACCCCCCCCCCGCACCTAATGCTCTATCAATGAAGCACCCCTTACCCAGAGGCTCCGTAGCAAGCTCCTTGTGGGCTTACCTTGTAGGATCCTGAATACTTTAACCTACCAAAACCTACTTTTTTTTTGGTGGGGGGTCCCTATAAATTCCATATTAGGGTGTATAAAAAGAATCTAGGTTTTGTTAGGTTAAGGTATAAAGGAGCCCTACAAGTCATCCACCTTGCTCCCATCGCTCGGAAAGCTTCAAAAGGGCTGAGGGCCTCTTGCGCCACTTCAGCGGATCTCCTGATCCCTAAATCCCTAAATTCCTTAAATCCCTAAATTCCTAAATCCCTAAATCCCTAAATTCCCTAAATCCTTAAATCCCCTAAATCCCTAAATCCCCTAAATCCCTAAATTCCCTAAATCCCTAAATCCCTAAATTCCCTAAATCCCTAAATCCCTAAATTCCCTAAATCCCTAAATCCCCTAAATCCCTACCTTCTAGGGCCCAAGGGCCTCTGGTTTATCGTCTCTTGGGTTGGGGCCCCTGGGGGGGACGTCGGCTTTGAAACGTTAGGGCTGGGAATTTCGGACGGAGGGTTTGAGGTCAAGGGCTTCGGGTTTCGAAGGTGTAGACACTCGGTTTGAGGGGTGTGAATATAGAGTTTGAGGGTCGGAGTTTAGGGTGTGCAGGCGTTGCGGTTCGCCATTCCTGCAGTATCTAGGATGCGAAAATCCCTAAACCCTAAACCCTAAACCGTCGGTTCTCCAGGCTTTTCGGGAGTTGGTATGAAGATCCCTTCCTGGATGCAGAGTTTGGGGTTGATCTCGAAGCTCTCCTTTTTCCACCCAGGCCCCAAACAAATATGGAAACAAACCCTGACCAGATGCTCGTGGGAGATCATGGATCCAAAGAGCGCTGTTCCGATAGCTGCATCCTTCAACCGAACAGCTCGTAAACAGCACAGTTCAGGATCCCAGAGTCTTGCCCTAAACCCTAAACCC